TATGTCCCAAACTTGAATTGCAATTTAATTTCAGTGTCACAATTGCTTGATGAATTAGATTGTTTTATCCTGTTCACTAAAAAATTATGCGTTATACAGGACCCTGCTTCGAGGATGGTGATTGGAGTGGGTGAACGACGCGAAGGGCTTTACTACCTCAAGTCTATGGCAGAAATCAAGGCATGTAATGCAAATCGTCTAGAAACCATTGACCTGTGGCATAGGAGAATGGGACATCCATCTACAAAAATAGTAGAGTTACTTTCTCAGGTTAATTCTGGTGGTAGTAGTTTAGTTAAAGAAAAACCATGTGATATTTGTTTAAGGGCCAAGCAGACTAGGGCAGCATTTTATTCTAGTGAAAATCAAGCAAATGAAATTTTTGAGATGATTCATTGTGATCTATGGGGACCTTATCGAACTCCTGCTTCATGTGGTGCATCATATTTTTTAACCATTGTTGATGATTGTTCAAGAGCTGTGTGGATTTATTTGTTAATGGTTAAATCTGAAGTGGAACGTGTACTTCGAAATTTCTTTGCTATGATCAAACGTCAGTACAACAAGGATGTGAAAATTGTTAGAAGTGATAATGGCAAGGAATTCACCTGCTTGAAAGATTATTTTGCTGAAAATGGGATGATCCATCAGACTTCATGTGTGGGAACACCTCAGCAAAATGGGCGTGTTGAGAGGAAACATCGTCATATTCTGAATGTAGCTAGAGCACTGCGATTCCAAGCAAATCTTCCCATTAAATTTTGGGGAGAATGTGTGCTGACCGCTGGATATTTAATAAATCGGACTCCATCCAAACTCCTGGGGAATAAGACACCTTACGAATGTTTGTTTGGCAAACCACCCAGTTACAAGCATATTCAAATTTTTGGGTGTCTGTGCTATGCTCGAGACTTGAATCGAGACAAGGATAAATTTGGGAGTAAGAGTCGGCGTTGTTTGTTTGTGGGATATCCTTTTGGTAAGAAGGGATGGAGATTGTATGATCTTGATACCAGTGAACACTTTGTTTCGCGAGATGTGGTATTTTCAGAGAATGAGTTTCCATATGATAGTGCACCAGATGCACCTCGAGGTGTTCCGGGGCTAAATTCTTTTGAAGTCTTTGATCGCACCATAGAGGAAGTGGTTGATAAAAGAGAAGACATTCTGATAGAAGATATTCCAAGTGAAACATCAGAAATCACAAACCGGGTTCACAGTGAAGAGAATAACGAAGAAAGAGAGGGTGCTGGAACTGAAGAGATTGAGGCAGTTGATGAACAACTTGGGCGAGGTCATCGAATAAAGCGCTCATCTAGTCGTCTAAAAGATTATGTGACATATACTGCTAGACGCATAAGCCCTTCTGCATGTTTACCCACACCAATTCCATTCTCAGGTACTCCTTATCCTATAGCGCATTATGTGAATTGTGATAAATTTTCTATGTGTCATCGATCATTCTTAGCAGCAGTAACAGCTGGTAAAGAGCCAACCTTTTATGGTGAGGCGGTGAAGGATTCTCGATGGAGACAAGCTATGGCAAGTGAAATTGAGGCGCTTGAAAAGAATGGGACATGGACAGTGGAAGATCTACCACCAGGAAAGAAAGCGATCGGTAGCAAATGGGTGTACAAAATCAAGTATAATTCTGATGGAACAATTGAGCGGTATAAGGCACGATTGGTGATTCTTGGCAATAATCAGGTTGAGGGGATTGACTACAATGAGACGTTCGCTCCTGTTGCAAAAATGGTAACAGTTCGAACTTTCTTGTCTGTGGCAGCAGCGAAGGACTGGGAACTCCACCAAATGGATGTTCACAATGCATTTTTACATGGAGATTTAGCAGAGGAAGTGTATATGAAGATGCCTCCGGGTTTTACAACTCCCCAACCAGGAAAGGTATGTCGATTGCGAAAGTCTCTTTACGGGTTGCGACAAGCTCCAAGGTGTTGGTTCGCTAAACTCACTAATGCCTTGCAGCGGTATGGCTTTACTCAATCTTATTCTGATTATTCGTTGTTTACTCTGAATCAAAACAACATACAAATATGTATTCTGGTGTATGTTGATGATCTTGTGATTGGGGGAAATAATAGTGCTGCAATTCAGAAATTTAAGAAATATTTATGTCAGTGCTTTCATATGAAAGATTTGGGAGTATTGAAATATTTCTTAGGTATGGAAGTTGCCAGAAATAAGAGTGGCATTTTTCTTTGTCAACGCAAATATGCGTTGGATCTTATTACTGAAGTTGGTTTATTGGGTTCCAAACCAACTAGTTTTCCGATGGAGCAGAATCATCGCTTGGCAATGGCGGAGAGCATGCCATTAACAGACCCAGAAAAGTATAGACGTTTAGTCGGAAGATTGATCTATTTGACACTTACACGACCTGAGTTGTCTTATGGTGTGCATGTTCTTGCTCAGTTTATGCAAAGGCCAAAAGAAGAACATTGGGAAGCAGCTTTGCGCATGGTTCGTTACTTGAAAGGTAGACCTGGGCAAGGTATATTTCTCCGATCAGACTGCAATCTACAGCTGCGCGCATACTGTGATTCTGATTGGGCAAGTTGCCCATTAACTCGTCGCTCACTCACTGGATATTTTGTTTTGCTGGGAAACTCACCCATTTCCTGGAAAACTAAGAAGCAACATACTGTGTCCAGGTCATCTGCTGAAGCGGAATATCGATCTATGGCCACCACGATTTGTGAACTAAAATGGTTGAAAGGGTTGTTGGGTTCTCTAGGGGTAATGCATTCTAGATCTATGAAACTTTATTGTGACAGCCAAGCAGCCATGCATATTGCGGCAAATCCTGTGTTTCATGAACGAACAAAGCATATAGAAGTTGACTGTCATTTTGTGCGCAATGAAGTTCAAAATGGAAATGTAGAAACTACATATGTACGTAGTTCAGAGTAGTTAGCCGACATTTTCACCAAGGCGCTTGGGAAACAACAGTTCGAGTATCTTCTTTACAAGTTGGGCGTTCGAGATCTCCACGCACCAACTTGAGGGGGGTATTGGAGATTGCAGAATATTGTGTGTATATTTTGTGCATATATTTGGGCTGTAATTGCGTAAAGATAGGAGCTCTGTTTTTGGTAATTATTCTTTGGTAATTGTTTTGGTAGTCGAGATAGAGTAGGAATTGATTTCCTTTTGGTAGTTACGATAGAAGTAGGAACCATTACCTTTTTCTATTTTGGCTTTGCTTTGTATATATTTTGAGGCCTGAGGGTCATGAAAGGCATGGGAAAACTTTTCCAAAATTTCTTTTCAATTGCATTTTACACAATCTAAATTTTTCATTCGAGCTCTTTATGTGGAATGTTAACATCTACTGCAACACTTTATGAGAAGCTATAGAAGGCAAAAACAGTTCAATAGGATTAGTGACAAAACCAATTCACGAACGATCTCTGCTTATGATTTTTTTTTATCATCACTGATATGTCGCCAGTTGTTTAGAAGCTAAAGAACTCCTATGTACTTTTAAAAATTTTCCTCTCTCAAAGTAAAATCCTCATGTTCAGATAGGGATATGAAACCTCTTCCTTCTCCTAATCCCCCAAAATTTCCAGATTTTTTTAGGAATATTTACATCTTTTCTCAGAGTTTCTTTATTGATCATATTTGGGGAGTAGTTGGAGGAAACTCTGAAAACTCTAGAGGCAAATAATCTTGCTTCATTTTTAGATTGAAGAATAGGTAATTGATTGGGGGAGCGCACATTATATGAAAGTTTGTATTGTCAAATTTGATGGGAAGAATTAGATGGAATGGCGTAGTGGGAGCATTTTTAAAAGTTCAGTGGATCGGGCGATTCTTGCAGTTCAAACTTTTCTAAATTTTGGTTTTCGTTTTGGTAAAATATGTTTCTATAGTCATACTCAAAGGATTTGTGCTTAGTGGAGAAAAAAATTAGCATCAAATACTTGTATAAATTGGAGCAAGTCAACAATCGAAAAGTTTATTATAGAATCTGTCAAATAGAGATCAGCCGCAGCTTAAATACGACGGGTTTAGCACGTATTAGTTGCTCTAACTTGTTATATTAGTATGATGTAGTGCCTCCAGAACTTTATTGTTCTTGATGAAGACTTTAGAGGGGTCTGTTTCCATTTTTTTTTTTCTTTTGAGGGGGATGGGGGGGAGGGGGTGTCTGTTTCTTTCTTTTTTTTAAACCAAAACAACAGTTGCTGTTCAAACTAATAAAGCTTTAAATTATACAAAATCTTGTAAAAGCTGCCAAAAAGTTTTTGTACAAGGGAAATTAAATATTACTTTTTCGCAATCTTTCCAAATCCTGAGGGTGGAAAAATCAGCACCCCTGCGGTCCAGGATTCCATCATACCGTTTAATTTAACAATGTTTAGGAAGATTGATTGTTGACTAGTGAAAATTTGGAGTTGCAGGTTGTGATTAAAAGGACGTTTGGCCGTGGCTGTCAGCACAACTGCGAATGATTCTGGATATATAGTAATTTACCCATTTACAATCAGAAATCCAAGATTTTGAGGGACGGAGAATTTTAGTTTTGAGCACAAAATTTAATGCTAAACACCTCCTTAATTAAGTAGTCAGATATTGTTATGGCGAGATGAGCAACTTAACAAAAGTTTCGCATAATTCTTAAAAACATTAATTCAGACATCAACTTCTTCCTGTGTATTTCGCATTGTATCAGTATACATCTTCAAGCTTCATATTCTGCGTAGTCAATTGCTTTTACATTGGCGTCCTAAATATTCAATGTTCCTCTACCTCTTCTCTAAACTATGTCATAGACGTCTTAAATAATTATTGATACGAAAACCCACAAAGACCGCTGGAAATTTTAAAAGCTTTACTCGGAAAGATTAATTCATTTTTAAAACTGATCAAGTCAAGCCATGAGTTAGACTAATTCTCTCGGTTATTGCCTACTGAGAGAGCAAGAGTAGAGCATTATATAACATTCATGATGATTCAAAGTTTATCAGGCAAAAATGAAGAGACAAATAACATTTTACAGTTGCTTACTTTTCTTCTTTCTACGGCAACCTCAAGAAGTGATCAGTTTCACTTTCTTGGGAGATCATTTGTGCCATCATGATGATGCTCTTGCACTGCTTCAATTCAAGGAAACGTTTAGCATAAATGCATCAACTTATGTTTCTGCTTATTGTGATAAGTGGGGTCAGAATTCTTACCCAAAGACGACACATTGGAAACCAGATGCAGATTGTTGCAATTGGGACGGAGTCACATGCCACAACATCACTGGTCGCGTTATTGGGCTCGATCTGAGTTGCAGCCACCTTCAGGGTCTCATCCTTCCAAACAGTACCCTTTTCCATCTTTCCCATCTCCGCCGCCTCAACCTTGCTTTTAATGACTTCATTGGTTCACGGATTTCACATCGATTTGGTTGGATGACAAGTCTGGCCCACCTCAATCTCTCAAGTTCATCTTTCGATGGTAAAGTTGCTTCGGAAATATCATACCTATCTAATCTAATTTCATTTGATCTCCCTTCCCTTTTTCCATGTGATTCTATGGGTTGTTGGGTTCTAAGATATGAACCTAACAGTTTTGAAGCAATGCTTCAGAACTTAACCCAATTAAAAGAGCTGTCGCTTTCGTGGATGAGCATCCCATTCGAGTTAAGAACGAATTTTTCTTCATCTTTGACATATCTAAGTCTCACGGGTACTGGAATAAGAGGTAATCTATTAAGTAATGTTTTCCATCTGCCAAATATGCGAGTTCTCTTGTTAGGTGACAATGAGAATCTTACTGTTAGTTTACCGAAATTGAACTGCAGCATTTTTGATTCTCTGAGGCAGTTGGACCTATCGAGCACAAGTTTCTCTGCTGCATTGCCAGATTTAAAGGGGTGTGCAGTGTCCTTAAATTCTTTGAATCTAGGATCCTGTCAAATTTCTGGTGTCATTCCTGAATCAATTGGCAACCTTACACAACTTACTGAATTGCATCTGGGTGACAATTTGTTGGCTGGGGAAATTCCAAACTCACTTCGCAACCTTAGGCATCTTGAGAGTTTAGACCTCTCTAGTAATCTACTGATGGAGGAAATCAAAGATTTTAAAAGTAGGTCACTATCAATGATTTTGTTGAATAACAATCAACTAAGCGGTTCAATTCCTCCATCAATTTTTACTCTTCCGAACCTATCTTTCCTTGACCTTTCAGCAAACCATTTTATTGGGGTTGAGCAAGACTTGCTTGTGGACTTCAATAAGCTTCAAAACAATGCTTTTAACGGTGAAGCAGCATGGAACACTACCAACAATATGAACATTCCCTATCCAAATTTGGTATCCTTGGGCTTGTCTTCTTGCCAAATTAAGGAATTTCCAGAGTTTCTGAGAAATTCGGAGAGCTTATCTTATCTAGATCTCTCATCCAATATGATTCATGGCGAAATCCCAGGCTGGTTCTTGTCCAAGACATGGGATATTCTGGTCTACTTGAACCTTTCACATAACTTCTTAATTGGCATTATAGACCAACTACTCGTAACTCCCTCTATCGCGTATCTAGACATGAGTTCCAACTCACTTCGGGGTCAAATACCTTCTTCTATCTGTGAATCAAGTCTTCTTACTATTCTTGATTTGTCAAATAACAATTTGTCTTGTCCAATTCCTCAATGCTTGGGAAACTCCAGCCAGTATCTAGAAATTATGGATTTGGGAAATAATAGGCTTTTTGGCACCATTCCCACAACATTTTCAAAAGGAAACTCTTTGCGGTTCCTTGTGTTGAATGACAATCAATTGCAAGGGCCATTGCCACGATCTTTAGCTCATTGTGAAGGTCTGGAACTCCTTGATATAGGGAACAATGAGATAGATGATAAATTTCCAATTTGGTTGGAAACTCTTTCTAATCTGGAGGTCCTAATATTGAGATCTAATCGATTTCACGGAGCAATTGGCAATTGCCAAACTAAAAGTCCATTTCCTCAGCTGAGAATTATTGATGCATCCCACAACGAGCTCACTGGTGCTCTACCTGAAGAAATTCTCAGCAACTTCAAAGCTATGAAAAGTTCAAAGCATGACCAAAAGGAATTCCAGTATATGAAGGTCAAATGTCAGTAATGATTATTACATCCATTCTGTGAGTTTGGTTATCAAAGGGGTGGAGTATAGTCTTGAAAGAGTCCTAATAACTCGAACAGCAATTGACTTCTCAAGCTACAGATTCGAAGGACAAATTCCAGAGATTATCGGATCCCTTCATTCTCCTCAAACACTCACTCTCTCTCATAACAACTTCAGTGGCCCAATTCCCAAGGCATTAGGGAATTTGCGCATGCTTGAATCTCTGGACCTCTCTTGGAACCGACTTGAAGGAACCATTCCTATGGAGCTAGTGAATTTGGATTTTCTTGAATTCTTAAACCTTTCGGAAAATCGTCTAGTTGGACCCATTGCACGAGGAAGGCACTTTGATACATTTGGAGATGATTCATACAGACGGAATTTGGACTTGTGTGGATTTCCGCTGGCTAAAGATTGTGGAGATACAGAGGCACCACCACCAGCCATGCCATGGGTAGCTGAAGAACAATATGATGATTCTGAATTCTTTGATGGGTTCACTTGGAAAGCTGTTCTCCTGGGATATGGCTGTGGATTGGTGCTCGGATTAGTTATGGGAGGTCTCATATTCTCAACTGGAAAACCAAGATGGTTTGTACTGATTGTCGAAGAGTCGTTCAAACTGCGAAGGCGACCGAGGAAATGGATCCACATAGGCACTTAAGATGGGCAGTGCAATAATTTACAGTAACTGGTAAGCAAAGCATTCTTTTTCTACCCCTATTATCCTTCTTCTTTATTTTTTCCTCAATCACAATAGCTTTTTGAATGACAAGTTTTTGGTATGGCTAATTCGAAAAATATGACTTATAATGCCCAGGTCTACCCATGGAGTGGAAATAAGGAAAAGTTTTGGTTCATTTCCAGTCGTACGTGCTGTGTATTTTAGGCTGTAATAGTTACTTGTTTCTAATGCCCAGGTTTTCAAGTCTCAGAGCGTCAAGTGATTGTGGTTCCTTGCGATTTTATCTGTAGCTTTATATTGAAAGTTGTCCAATGTACGTTACGAGAATGATCCATCAAAAGACTACAAACTCATCGTGTCTTCAAATGCCTCCCTTCAAGAGTGACGGTTGACATTCAATTTTGCAAGGATCAGGCCATCAAGAAAACGAAAATCATGTTGAATTTTGAAAAGCAAAAACAATCAACAATGAGAAAATACGGTTGCAACTCTGAAATACAAAAAGAATAAGAATAAAATGCCAGTAAAGAGCTTTTTTTTTTTATAAATTTCATGTTACCAATTTTAAGCTTTACAAATTTCATTGATTTGAAATTTTAAGATCATAATTCAAAAGGACAATTCTGGTAAGTACTTTGTGATGGGATTGTCCTTTTGAAAAATTTATCCCCAATCTCACGGTTCAACCTGAATGTCACTACTTTTCATCGAAAATTAATCACTAAACTTACCGTTTTAGTACGATCTGCAATATGTAGATAATAAATTCAATCTTGAACTGGGCACCCGTTAATATACCTATTTCATGCCTCGCTTGTCATTTACAAGTGCTAAATTTCTATGGCTCGTAAACGCGCAAGTGGTTTTTGTCTATTCCCTTGCCATGGGCTCAAATGAGTGTGTACTAAGCTTTTGATATTCCTATGATAAATATCAAAAAGATGATTTGAAAATGGGCCTTAAATCAACCCCTATACAATTTGGTGATTCAACAAAGAAGTGGATTCCTAGTTCTGTGATTCAACAGATATACTGTTTGGAATACCAAAACATATATATATATATAATTAGATTCCAACAATAATATCTTCTGTGGGGCGAAAGAGAGTCTATGTCATAATTTTGGGAGTAGACCAAGAATTCAAGATTAAAGATAGAAGACTTGGAATGAAGAGAATGAAATAACTTCCCAATTAATGAAGCTCCAAATCCACCCAGCGTCTTGATCTCCAACTGGATTCTTGAATCTCCTGAGAGAAGTGCTAGAACTAATGTTTGCAAGCGTTTTTTCCCCTCCAAGTCCGGTCTCAATTCCGGACTTCCACTTTGAGCTCAAGTTTTTCCCGCAATTTTGGTCCCTTTTTCCTATCAAATTAAGCCTTCCACCAGCCAAAGCCAACACAAGACAAAACCAGGCAATTTTCATTTACACTTAAAGCTCAAATACAGCAATTAAAGCACAATACACTCGTATAAAAAAAAAATTCTAACCTATCAACCGTATAACAAAACGCATCTTTCTAAAAATTTCTTAATATATAGTCTTCTAAAATACTTTCGAAAAGCTTTATTGCTAAAGTAGTTAGTAAGATTTAAAATCTCTCCTAAATTGCAAAAACTAACATACTTATGAGCAATATATCGAACACTCATAACTCTTTAAGATTAACTACTTTCTCCCTCTCTCTTTCTTTATTTTTTTCCCCCATACTGTAGGCCTGTACCCAAATAGATATTGCTTCAATGTAGAAATTTAATGTGGCAATTTTATATAGAATGACTTTTTTTTTTTTTTGAGAGCTAGTGGATAATAAGTTAGTACCAGTGTCGTCAAATCTCAAATGGTGGATAAATTCTCAATTTCATTGAACCAATAAATCCTACAAATGGGAGGAGGGAGGAGGGGGATGGGTTGGATGGTTGATGGAGAAGAGAGTGTAAGTGAGATATTTCGAGTTTGATCCCTCCCACGTCCACTTAAAAAAAAAACTCCTAAAAACAATCATTACAAAATTAAAGTCTCATTTCGTAGTAGTTTGAGATCAACATTATATTAAGGCATGATCTAACATATTGAATGCCCAGAAACTGTTTTGATGTTATATGCTTAATAGCAAGAAATAGACCACCAATAGAGGTGGTCATAGTGTCATGGTCTTGTTTACTCGGTTCTAGCTTCTGAGTCAATACTAAGCCCACAGTCGATAGCGATTGAAAGGGAATTCTTAAATTAGGACTGCAAATTACTTTTTTCCATACTTGTTCAATATCACTGTTTGAAAAATCCCGTATCATAGCGTGCGTGCGTGCCTTCACATTTGATTGTCAGTTAAAAAGTGATCAATTAATGTATGTATGCCCAAAAACCTAGAAATATCTTCACCAATACATTTATTTAAAGAAAATAAAAAAAAAGGAAGAAATCAAAGGCTTCATCAACGCAATTCATATTATTGTCGTTGTCATGTTTAATGGACGTTGGAAAAAGCTCATCAGCTAATTGAAATCACTACCTGACTATTATTATCCTATAAAACTGGCGACCCAAATTATTCCTAAGATGAGCCCAAATCTAAATATCCTAAATGTAAGAATATGAATATCAATATTCGGGGGTTGGGATAAAACCCTTACTGGTTATCGAGAACTCAGATTAATTTTACAATGAGTAGCAACGCTGGAAAGTAATTTCAGACCCCAGTAGACTCGTAGAAGAGGAAAGAAGTGAGATTCATTAAAAAAAAAAAAAAGAAATGTTTCTGATGATGGGAAGAACTTCTTTTTATTCATGTGAAGTAAATACAAGGATTGAAGGTAATCAAGTGAAACGGTACACATACTTGTTCATTTGAAGACAAAGTCATAGTGTCTAAATCTGAAGGTCATTTAGCAACACTTTGAAGACCAGATCAAATGAAGACTTGTTCTTGATGACCACAATAAATGTTTATTCAATTTTTTCAATTTCTATTTCAATCTCTCCCCTTCGATCGCCTATAAATATACCTCTTCTGGCTTTTTCTTTATCTTGAGAAAAACATCGGAAAAGCAAACCAATTAAGACTATCCACAACGGCAGGATCAGCAAGGTTTGGGGCCAATGCTTGCGCTAGTTTTTGTTTTGGTAATATCATGGGTGCTTTCTCCATTTGCAGCTGCACTCAGCACAAATTACTATGATCATACATGCCCAGAGGTTGAGTCAATCATCACCAGAGTAGTTAAGAAAGCTATGATGAATGACAAGACCGTTCCAGCGGCACTGCTTCGGATGCACTTCCATGACTGCTTTATTAGAGTAATCTCTAATTAACCCTATTACTTTCATTTCATTTATCTTCTGCGGATTCCCTCATGTCTACAGTTATAATAGCTACAATTTTACCCATTCATATTTTTCTATTCAAGGGATGCGATGGTTCTGTGCTGCTAAACTCAACAGCTAAGAACAAAGCTGAAAAAGACGGGCGTCGAAATATTTCATTGCACGCATTCTATGTCATTGACCATGCAAAAAAAGAATTAGAATCCCAGTGCCCTGGTGTTGTCTCCTGTGCTGACATATTGGCATTGGTTGCTAGAGATGCAGTTGCACTAGTGAGTGTCACCGACTAATCCCTATGATAGTTGGAACAGAATTATACTATAGTTTACTTACAGCTACTTTCTGATCAATCCTACCGGTTGAGGGTTAAAGTCTTGACAAGTTGATAGGCTCCGATGTTTGGTTGTAACTTCTTCACATTTGCATATTCTGTGTGTCGGTGTGGTGCTCTGACTACACTCACATTTGCTAAATGTTCCAGTCAGGAGGTCCCAGTTGGAATGTGCCTAAAGGTAGAAAAGATGGCAGGATTTCAAAGGCCACTGAAACTGTACGACTGCCTGATCCTACCTTTAACATATCTCAATTGCAGCAAAGTTTCTCTAAGAGAGGCCTATCACTGGAAGATTTAGTGGCCCTTTCAGGTTAATCCCAAATTAATTTTTGCTCTTAGTAATCTTCATTAGTTAATGTTCTCCTTCAGCATTGGCAACTTCCCTTGCAGGAACACACAAAACACACACAGTCACACATGACAAGCCTACCAATTCTCAAGTCCTGATCCAACCGTTGATGCATGCATGCTTGCCCGCAATTTTCAGATCACGACTCTACTAAAAAACATAATTTGATTGCTAATATGCAGGAGGCCACACCCTAGGTTTCGCTCACTGCTCATCCTTCCAGAACAGAATCCACAACTTTAACTCCACTCATGATGTAGATCCCTCCTTGCAGCCATCATTTGCAGCCAGCTTGAGGAAAGTTTGCCCCATGCACAACAAGGTGAGGAGTGCAGGTTCTGGCTTGGATTCTTCGGCAATCACGTTTGACAACATATACTACAAGCGAATCATTCTAGGCAAGAGTATTTTCTCTTCAGATGAAGCTTTATCGACCGCTACAACTACAAAAGCATTGGTTTCAAAGTTCGCTAATTCCCAGGAAGAGTTTTATACAGCCTTTGTCAAGTCTATGATCAAGATGAGTAGCATAAGTGGTAGTGGAAAAGAGATCAGGTTGAATTGTAGAGTTGTTAATTAGGTAACTTCTTCGACGCGAATTCATCATGTCAGCTACGGCTATCTCTTTGACTCGCCGTTTTAGTTTGTTTTCTGAGTTCTTAAAATTAACTAGATAAGAGAACATACTTTACACCTTGTCTGGTAGAATTGCTTAAGGTTAAGTGTGTAATTTAATAGTATATTTATTTGCAAGATTGTTATGGATGCACAAATCTTCAGGAGATTCAAAAAAGAGACACTTGAACTATGAATTTCATTTTAATGACAAAAAAGGCAAAATAAATAAACAATTATTGTGTAGTTAGCTAGTTTGGCTTATCTTTTCCTAGCTAATAAAAGTAATAAAAAAAACAATAAAAAAAACTGCTAGAGTTATAGAATTCCTCACTATTCTTGCAAATAAAATTATC